ATAATATAAATGAATAAGCTCTTATCTTATCTTTTTTATAATAAACAGGCTGAAACAAGTTTTATTCCATTTATTATCAAATTCGTAATGATGTTTACATAATTATATTTGCTTTATTTATTTATTTTTTTTTTTATAAAATAGTAATTCATTATTAATTTTTTTAGAGTTAAATATACTGAAAAAGGTGAAATCGTACTGACAATTTCAATGTTGTCGAAAGAAGATTTTGAAGAAAACAAAATGAGTTCTACTCATGGTCGAATGAATAAAAAAGGAATTCTGTTAATTGAATTACATGACACTGGTATTGGGTGAGCCACTTAAGATTTATATTTAATGTCTTAACATGTACATTAGCTAATTATTCATTTAATAATTATAGGATGAATCCTGAATATATTCAACATGCCTGGGAAAGCTTTTCACGAGGTGATACGTCAATAACCAGGAAGCAAGATGGTACAGGACTTGGTCTCTCAATTTGTAAAAGTTTAGTAGAAATTAATGGAGGAGAAATTAAAGCAGAAAGCCAGTTGGAAGTAGGAAGTACATTTTGGTTTACATGGAATATCGAACTATTATTCCCGATTACGCCAACTAATTCATCGTCAATCATACCAACTAATTCAAAACTCCCAGCTTCCTCATTATTCGAGGCACAATTTGATAAGCAAATAAACTATACATTACCTAATTTTATAAGAAAAAAACGAATACTAATAATTCACCCGATTAAAAATATGAGAACCGCAATGTTAACATATTTTAAAATTGTTGAAAAAGTTGATGCATTCAGTACCTTTAATGAAGGTATTAAAGCTGCCCAAACATATAAGGAATTGCATAATCAATTTGATTATGACATAGCATTCATCGGTCTTTACGAAGATAATGAAGAAGAGGTCATGAAAGCAGCATTAGAATTAATAGAATTAGATATGGATAGTAATAGATTAGTTATAATTTTTATAGTATTTCCGAATAATGAAGGAAATGTGTTAGCAAGAAACTTAATTAGAAAGCTTGGAGGAACCACTTCTGTTATTTACACTCCAATTACATTAAAGAAGTTAATTAATCAAGTGATTCATCTGGAAAAAAACATTACTACTGATAAAAATAATACAGACCAACATACCGATGAAAGTAATGATACAGGTATTCTAAAGCGAGTAGTAGACTATGAACTTTATAAAGTTGAAGGTGCGAATCAAGATATATATGAAAATATAACTGGAAAAGATTTAAAGAGGAAGTGTATTTTATGTGTGGTATGCATTTATTTTGCCCAAATAATATATGCTTATTTGATATGATATGCTTTAATTTTATTGTTTAATAATATTTGTAGGATGGGGATTCTATTAGTTTAAAGGTAAAAAAAATTTAATAATGTAGCTTCGTAAAATTTATAAATTCTTTAATTTAATTTATTTTAGAGCACATTGCAACAAATTTCGAATCTTGGTTATTCAACTATTTCTGCAGCAAATGGCCAAGAAGCGGTCAGATTGATTGATTCTGATGTTAAGTTATTAAGACATTCGTACTCGAATTCATCAAATTCAGAAATAAATCAAGTGGAATCTTGCAGAATATCGTTAATATTAACTGAATATAGTTTGGTAAGATTAATCTGTTAATTATACTATCATTATAAAATATTCACAATTTATTAAATCAATTATTGTAATCAGCCAATAATGTCAGGGTTTGATGTTTCACGAGCAATTAGAGCAATGAGACCACCAATTTCAAATATACCGATTATTGTCCTAACTTCTTTATCCGTGAAAGAAATACAAAACGGATATATCGAGTCAGGAATAAATGATTATCTCGCGAAACCACTGAAAACTGATGAACTTGAAAAAGTTTTAACTAAGTGGATTGGTAAAAATTAGCATTAATTACAATTATAAAAATTATCAATCTTATATAATATATTGTTTATCATTATGGAAAAAGTTTTAACTAAGTGGATTGGTAAAAATTAGCATTAATTAGAATTATAAATATTATCAATCTTATATATTATATTGTTTATCGTTATGGAAAAATTTTAACTAAGTGGATTGGTAAAAATTTAGCATTGATTACATTATAAATTTTATCAATCTTATATCCCTTAAACTGTAAGCTTTTCCAGGCAAATTTGCCTGGAAAATTATTATAAATATACTTATAACCTATATTTTTAATTTTTAAAATATTTAAATAATTTTTTTTTAATAATATTTGAAAATAAGAATTCTATTATAGTAGTATTTAATTTTATTTTATAAGAAAAAAATTTTAAGTTGCTTAAAAAATAAGTATACCAATTTAGAAAAAAAATTTAACCAAAAAATTATCTACTTATTCTTGATGAACTCTTTAAATATTAATTTTAAAGCTATAGTTCTTAATACAATATTTTAGTTTATATAAAG